AACTGTAAGTAGGCGCTCCAGAAAGTCAGATGTTTGCATGTTGTTATTCTTAGTTCGTAAGTAGGAGGTTTAAGAAGTTATTACATTTGTCATGCAGATTTTTGCTACAGCCTGACTGTGCATCAAACAGCCTTCTGATATCCGGAAAGATAAGGCATTTATTATAAACAATTCACAGTGTAAAGGCTGTGAAGATTAAATTGATTCGAAAGGTCAATAAAAACTGGTTTGTAAACGTCTTGAAAAACTGAGAAGAAAAGAAATCTTCAGGAGTCACTACTCAACGAGTCACCCACTTCCTAAGACCCTCCAGCCACCTTGGCAACAGAAATCCCCCTTTTATGTGGGAAGAGCAAGGTGAACCACTCAAACAACGCAACTGAGCCGAGATTAAAGTAAATTCGATTAGAACGTTGTTCCTGTATCCAGTTTGATTGGATCTCATCTCGTTATTCAGTACAGGAGTGTGTTAGGTCATTGCTAATCTCATAATACACGGACCTTCAGTGTCACTGTATTTAAAATGCTTCCCAACAATAACATTCCAGTCCTTCAGTCAAGTACTGTAGCAGTGAAATCCGTTCCCCTGCCCATGCACGATGAGTATTAGCAGAACACGTCTATGAACTATTAACTAAAGAGTAATTCCCTGAAATAAGTGGAAATAATTCCATACATTAACAGGTTGTATCTCAAGTGCAGGGAGAACAGTTTATTTTTAATAATGTGAGGGACATTCAAAAGTGTTCTGCTTATAATAATAATAATAATAATAATAATAATAATAATAATAATTGCTTACACTTATATAGCGGTTTTTCTGGACACTCCACTCAAAGCTCTTTACAGGTAATGGGGACTCCCCTCCACCACCACCAATGTGCAGCATACACCTGTATATCAGAAGTATTATCTTCTGATCGAACCCGCAGCTCTGGCCCGGTTGCACAGGGAGGAGCTATCAGCCCTTGAAGTCATCACCAGCCAGCAGCCATGTCACCCTGCAGCTCACCGCTGGCAGCCCACTGGAGCTCAGCAGGTGTGAGCCTGGTCAGTACCTGGATGGGAGACCTCCTGGGAAAGCTAAGATTGCTGCTGGAAGAGGTGTTAGTGGGGCCAGCAGGGGGCTGGTGCACCCCTGCGGTCTGTGTGGGTCCTAATGCCCCAGTATAGTGACGGGGACACTAGACCGTAAAAAAAGCGCCGTCCTTCACATGAGGTGTAAAACCGAGGTCCTGACTCTCTGTGGTCATTAAAAATCCCAGGGTGATTCTTAAAAAGAGTAGGGGTGTTACCCCGGCATCCTGGCCAAATTTCCTCCTGGCCTTCACCAATCATGGCCTCCTAATAATCCCCATCTCTGAACTGTCTCATCATTCTCTTCTCCTCCCCACTGAGAGTGTGTGGGGAGAGTACTGGCGCACTCTGCTCTCCTCCCCACTCAGAGCTGGTGTGTGGGGAGTGTACTGGTGCACTCTGCTCTCCTCCCCACTCAGAGCTGGTGTGTGGGGAGTGTACTGGTGCACCCTGGCTGCCATCGCATCATCCAGGTGGGGCTGCACACTGGTATTGATGGAGATGGAGGGAATCCCCATTACCTGTAAAGTGCTTTGAGTGGACTGTCCAGGAAAGCACCATGTAAGTGTAAAGAACTCTTATTATGATCTCAGCAGCTGATATCTTTTTTTCAGGATAATCTCCACATTTGTCTCCTGTTGGGTCCTGTTTTAATGTTAAATGCAAAGCAGTTCTTCCTGGAGAAGTGGCAGCGTGGTGACCCCACCCAGATCCTGAGACTCTCAGGAGCTCTGAGCTCAGTATGAGCTCCAGCTATTGCTCACTGTTGATTATGAAGTCTTCCATAGGATTAACTTTGTCACTGGCTTTAAGGATTTTGACTAATACAAACTCCCTCTAGACTTCTGTGTTCAAGACTTAAGAGAGACTCAGATTCACTAAAGCCTGTCAGTGCAGTTCATTCCTAAAGACCTGGAACGTAACTGGTGGCTGTTCTCTGAAGAGATTCCAGAGCTCCAGTAATGTTTCTATAACATGGTGACCAAACTTGTGAACAAGAATCTACATGAGATCTTACTAGTGAATTGTGCAATTTTAACACAATATGACTTCATTTAAATTTCACACTTTGAACTATATGTCCAAACATTTTATTGCTTCCTTTAACAGTCTAGAAGAAGTAATGATCTGTCTAATATGTCTACAATAATATTTTCATAGGTAGCTTCTTGCAGCTCAGTGTTTCCCATTTTCTATCAGTAGCTTATGCATCTGAGCTCTGCGTATAACACTTGTCTACATTAAAAGTCATCTGCTTATCTGTACCATTTCCACTGTTATCCAAGTACATGAATTATTCTGAAAGCCCGGTGTATGGATTTTGAGAATGAATGTTTTATGAGAAAAGTTATCAAAATCATTCAAAATATCTGTATATAAAAATCTGAACATACCATACCTCATGGTCATTGTTTTTTACTGCTGTTGCTTGTTCAAAGTTCAAAGGACTCTAACCAGTTAAGCAAGACCTACCCTTTTCGAAATCCATGTTATTGGCTGTGATTCTGTTTGCATAGAGGAGATCCTCTAGTTTAGCTGAAATCATAATTTTCTTAACATACATGTAAGTCAGACATAATGGTTTATAATTATGATGTTAAGTTCCTCATCCTTTTTATGGCAGTGTACTAGCATTCCTTCAGCCAACGTAAATACATTTATATTTTTCTTATTAAGGATGTACATGCTCTGTGCTTTCCTCAACTGTATGTCAATAATAAAGTCTTATAGAGCTAGGAGAATGTTAAGTCATGTATGCCATATGGCTTTTTTCCAGTTATGCTCAAAGCAATGAGGGAGGGTATTCATATATCACTTCAATGGACTTGAAGGAATAATAGTAATGTAATACCTATTCATTAAACAAAATACAAAGCTGACCCGGCTGAATAGCTGAGTCAAATTAGAAGACCTGCCAAATAAAAAAAGTAAGGATCTGAGTGAGTGTTATTTTAGAAGGATACGATTTTTCAAGAAAGCAGATACATACACATGCAGTTCTGGGGCATCTGACACAGTGTATCTGGACCTTCAGAAAGTCGAGGTACCTCCATGACTTTGAAATTGCTGCTCTTCTTAATTTATATCAATTATATCAATTTGACAGATTATGCAAAATTAGATGAAGATGCAAATACAGATCCAGCTGCACAAGTGATCCATAGAAGACTAAGATACTCGTCACACCTGGTCAATTGCTCGGTTAATTATATTTAGCATGGTTCAAGTGCAGGATGTTACATACAAACAGTAAAACATGGGCATTGTAATCATCAAAGGATTACTCCTGAATCAGAAGGAGCAATATATGAGAAAGATCTGTGGGTTTATGTTAAATTATCATTTGCATCTAGGCAATGTCAGGGAGCAAGAACTGAGGCCAGCAGAATGCTTGATATAATTTATAGTAGAGAATTTAAAACCTAGAGGAGCCATGCTGAAGCTGAACAATGTCCTAGTTGTCCTCGACCTCCTTTGGAATAGCGTGCTCTGTTTCAGGCTGCAGACGTTGCTGGTGTCCTAGAGACAGTACATAGGAGAGCAGTCAGACTGATGTCAGGCTGAATGAGATTTAGCCAGACAGTACAGACGATTACTGGGCCATGGCGAAATAATTAAACTATATGAAGCTCTGGAGGCAACCCAGGAACTTCTTTAGGAACAACAAAAAAAAGGACTGGTCCTCCTCCTGTTGGTAACCCTTCTATTCCGAGGGTCCTGGGACACACAGGAACACTCAGGACGGAAACAGGAACACTCGTGAGTCATGAGCATTTGAAACGTCCTGGTTGCCGACAATGCTGACTTCCTGGAATCACCTTGCTGTGATTTTTGGATGATTGCATACTGAGCAATACAGAGAGCACGGAGAGCCGATCGCCTTTAAGTAGTTTGTAACTTTACTCACGTTCTTTGTAAACCGTACTCTTAAAGGCAAATTAAAAAAAACGAATTTCAGTTTGTAACTCAGGCCAAGCAACTGTAATTATCAGCTCTGTGGCAGGGTGCCATTTACAACATGTATGCACCAACTCTTCTTGAATATTGAGTTGAGCCGGCAGCCTCGGTGATGTACTTTGGTTCCACCTGGTGTTCGTGACGTGACGAGTGCATACGGACCGCTCGTCCCCAGCGTGTTTTAAGCCTGAACGCACTGCTCTTATAAAGGCGTATGTGCACAGTGGCTAAATTTCAATTCAGGCCCCGAGCCGACAGCAGACCGCCACCGTCCACAGGCGCGCAGGGGGTTTATGAAGCTATTCGTGACGGATTTCACACCGTGGAAAGAGTCAACATGGGAACCTAAATCAAACAGAACCAGCGTCGGAAAGTTTTTGGTGGGGGACCCATAACAAAGCAGGACCGAGGGAGGATAGCAACGTGAGGTGGAAAGACCGTCTTTTAAGAAGTGAGAGTGTCTCAGTGATAACTGAGGCAGGAGCACATTACTGCCGCACTGATACTAGTGATACTAGTGCTACTAGTGACAGGGCGGGATCTATGCTGTGACAGGATTTACAGTGAATTCGAGCGAGTGCGACCGCTCTCTGTGAAATGCGCTGATTAGAGAGCTGCAAGGTGAGAAGGTGCTTAGCTAGGAGGGCCGACAGATGAGCAGTTTGAAAAAGAAATACATTAAATCAACCGTTGTACCGAGTGTTAAGCATGATTCCCCGGCTGAAGTGGGTCTCACGCGTCGTCAGTAGGTGTCACCCTGCGGTAGGAGAGGGACGTGGGCGCCGTGCCGGTGTCCGGCTGAGCACCGGGAGCAGCCTGAGCTCTGAAGAGGAGGTGAAGAGGTTTATCGTCGAGAACACGGAGGTGGTGAGGGGGCCTCATAACACCCCGAACATTAGCCTCAGGCTGTTCACCCCGAGCTGCCGGTTCTGGCTCGCCAGGCCAGAGCTGTGGCCGTTCTCCGATCCGTACTGGGCCATCCACTGGCCCGGAGGGCAGGCGCTAACCAGGTAAGGACAGAGCCGGGCGCATGAGGACTGGTCTGATCCCGAAAGTCTCCAGCTGTCACGCCTGCAAAAAGCGCTTCTACCCAGATTTGACTCAGGGGGGCTGAATACTTGTACAATTAGCATATCTGGATTTTTGATTTACCTTTGCAGTTTTTGCCGATACTTAATTTCTCTTATCCTCTTCCAAAAAATGTTTAATAATAATAATAATAATAATTGCTTACACTATATGGCGCTTTCCTGGACACTCCACTCAAAGCTCTTTACAGGTAATGGGAATCCCCTCCACCACCAGCAGTGTGCAGCCCCACCTGGATGATGCACCAGTACACTCCCCACACACCAGCTCTCAGTGGGAAGGAGAGCAGAGTGATGAAGCCAGTTCAGAAAGGGGAATTATTAGGAGGCCATGACTGGTAAAGGCCAGAGGGAAATGTGGTCAGGATGCCGGGGTTACACCCCTACTCTTTTCGAGAAGCGCCCTGGGATTTTTAATGACCACAGAGAGTCAGGACCTCGGTTCTACGTCTCATCCGAAGGACAGCACCTTTTTACAGTTTAGTGTCCCCATCACTATACTGGGGCATTAGGACCCACATGGACCGCAGGGTGAGCACCCCCTACTGGTTCCACTAACACCTCTTCCAGCAGCAGCCTTAGTTTTTCCCAGGAGTCTCCCATCCAGGTACTGACCAGGCTCACACCTGCTGAGCTTCAGTGGGCTGCCAGTTGTGAGTTGCAGGGTGATATGGCTGCTGACATGAGATTTTTTTAATAAAAGCATTTCACTTTAAAGGATGCGGACATATCATTTGCAAAGGAGCAGGTAAAGGTTTCTTCCAGGCTGAGAGGACCAGAAATGAGACGCAGCGTTTCAGCTGTGGACCCTTCTTCAGACGTGGAAGACGAAGGCCGAAGATGGGTCACCTGAAGAAGGCCCCACCCCCGAAATGTTGTGTCTCAGTTTTTGTCCTTTCAGCAAGAGCTTTCAGTAAACCTTCATCAGTTCCTCTGCAGACTACGCATGCTGACGCAGCTCCCTGCTTGAACCTGTTTGGGCTGGGCAGAGTGGTGGCTCTGTGGCTCAGGATCTGCACCTGTGGCTGGAAGGTTGCTGGTTTAAAACCCGCAGCCAGTAGAGGAATCCTACTCCACTGGGCCCCTGAGCAAGGCCCTTCACCCCAACTGCTCCAGGGGTGCCATATAAATTACTGAACCTGCGCTCTGACCCCCAGCTTCTCTCCCTGTCTGTGTGTCTCATGGAGAGCAAGCTGGGGTCTGCGAAAAGACAAATTCCTAATGCAAGAAATTGTATCTGACCAATAAAGTGATCTTATCTTATCTTACCTGTTCAACCCGTATCATTAGTAATTGAAAGCACTGGGACACCAGTGGAAGGGGAGAATGCTTTTGCAAGGCACTGTGCTGTACGCAGATGCACCTGCTGAGGAGATGTCAGTAACTGTAACGGCCCCCTTTAACCTTCGTTGTGTCTACATGGCCGATATCTGGCGAGTGGCGTTCTGGAGCTCTGGAAACCCTTCCAGGTGTCTGCTTTCCAGGTACCTGCTGGAGGCGCCGGCCGTCGCCCGGGACAGCAGGGTGTTGGACCTGGGGAGCGGCTGTGGCGCCGCTGCGATAGCGGCGAAACTTGGGGGCGCTTCTTACGTTCTCGCAAACGACATTGACCCAGGTACCCCGCTGTCTCACAGGCCCTCTGTCTCACAGGCCCACTATCACTCAGACCCGCTGTCTCACAGGCCCGCTGTCACTCAGGCCCGCTGTCTCACAGACCCACTGCAGCACAGGCCCGCTGTCACTCAGGCCCGCTGTCTC